CGCCACGATGTAAAAAAGATGTGGAGACTCTAGAAAGAGGGTAGAAAAGAGCAACAAAGATGATTAGGGAACTGGAGACTAAAACATATGAAGAACGGTTGCAGGAATTGGGTATGTCTAGTCTGATGAAAAGAAGGACTAGGGGAGACATGATAGCAGTGTTCCGATATCTCAGAGGCTGCCATAAAGAAGACAGAGTCAAGCTATTCTCCAAAGCACCCGAAGGCAGGCCAAGAAGCAATGGGTGGAAACTAATCAAGGAGAGAAGCAATTTAGAACTAAGGAGAAATTTCCTGACAGTTAGAACGGTTAATCAGTGGAACAACTTGCCTCCAGAATGCTCCAACACTGGAGTTTTTAAAGAAGAGATTAGACAACCATTTGTCTGGAGTGGTGTAAGGTTTCCTGCCTAAGCAGGGGGTTGGACTAGAAGACCTCCAAGGTCCCTTCCAACCCTGTTATTATAAATACATTTAATTTACTTTTAAAAACAATTACATTTTATTTATTCATGTAAACCTCTTATTTGGTTCTTAGCGCTGAAAGTCAGCCATTAAAAAACGGGAGCCTCCCACCTGACTGCTGCATGACAGACCACTGTCCTCCTCCTCCATCCTTCTCCAACAGAAAAGCTGCTCAGGAGCTCAACGTCATCAACGGTTCGGTGGATCAAGTATCTCAGGCGACTAGATAGAGGAGGAAACAAGAGGACTCTGCAAGGAAGGAAGACACCGAATAAAATCAGTTGCCCTTGAGAAAGGGCGGCATCAGTGACTCAACAGTTAAGATGCTGGGCTTGTCAGCTGGAAAGCCAGTAGCCCAGGTTGGAGACCTGAGCACCACGAGACAGGGTGAGTTCCAATCCTCGCTCCAGCTCCTGCCAACCTAGCAGTTCGGAAAGCGTGCAAATCATCTTCTTTTAACCACCCCATAATCCCTTGTGGGGTGAAGTCTGGGCAACGAAATGCAGATGAGTGTTTACTGGCCGGATGCCCCTCCTGTCACCAATACAGAATTTTGTTCAACAGATAAGTTCTCATTGTGCCCAGAGAAAGAAATATCTGCCTCTACCTAGGATCAAACTCACAGCCTCCTGATTGTGAGGCGAGAGTGCCACCTATAGGTCACCGCACCACTTTAGAAAAGCATGCAAATGTGAGTAGATAAATAGGTGCCACTTTGGTGGGAAGCTAACAGCTGGCCACATGACCGCAAAAATGTCTTCAATACGCTGGCTTTCTTATTTAAGAAAGGGACAAATTAGCAGCCACAAGAAGAGAGAAAGAGACCCAGTTTGGTCTAGTGGTTAATGCACCAGGGTAGAAAGCGGGAGACCGTGAGTTTGTCCTGCCTTAGCCATGAAATCCAGCTGGGTGACTTTGGGCCAGTCACTCTCTCTCTCAGCCCAACCCACTTCACAGGGTTGTTGTGTGGAAAACAAGAGAAAGGTGAGCTGGATATGCCTGCTGCCTTGTGTAAAAATAATAAAGGTGGGATACAAATAAATAAATAAAAGTAAGATTTTTTAAAAAATAAATAAATAAAAGGCATGCGAATCAGAAGCGAAACCCAAGTTTGGTAGAAGAGGAACATATCATGCATAGCCTTGCTTTAAAAAAATCTCTTAAAGAAAAGCAGAGGTAAATTTCATGGATCTTAACAGTTCAATCCCTTTTTAAATGAGCTTTTCTACCGGAAAATGCTCTGCAGCCATCCAGACAGGAAGACCAAGATTCACGTTGGGTTGGGGCAACGAGAGAGAAGCTGTTGTGACCTGCCAGAGGAGCTGGTGACAGACTCAGACAGTGAGGAGGTTGGGGAGGAACATGGACCAGTCCTGGATTCTGGGGAAGGCTCTGATGAGGGCTCTGTGTCTGAGGTAGAGATGGGGCCAGGGCCGTCTGACAATTATCAGCTGCCTTCAGAGTCAGAGATCACTGGGGCAGAAGAACAGCTGGAGCTTTTTCCCAGTGTGCATATGCGCAGAGCTGCCAGACAAAGGGAACAGCTAAAGGATAGGGGTTGACTTGGGAGTAAGGCCACAGGTGGACGATGAATGGCCCCCAGAGGAAATAAAAGAGGAGCGACAGGGGAGTGGAGTTTGCAGGAGACAATTAGTTCGCTTCATTGGTTCGTGACTCTCCGAGACTCCTTGCCAAATTTTGCAGATGTCGGCCTGGCAGCTCTCCAAGCCAGATAAGGTTTGTGGCTGTAAATCCTCCCTTGAAAGACTTNTCACTTCCCAAAGAAAGGATCAGCGTGGGAATAATCTCTGCCAAGTGATGGACAGACAGCACACTGAGAAACAGCAGGTTGGCTGTTCATGCTAACCCAAGACCTGATATATATTTTTCCGCCCTTCCGCCCACACGGAGAAACAGCAGGTTGGCTGTTCATGCTAACCCAAGACCTGATATATATTTTTCCGCCAGGAAATAACATAGGTGCAAACAATGCTTATTGTGGAACAAAACTCCCCTTGAGAAGGACAGAAAATAGTGTGCTAAAATCAGAAAGGTACTTTACAAAATACCATGGATTTCACTTTTGTTGTGGCCTGTTGGCTCCAGCAGCCAAATTAGAGGAGGAGGAGGCGTGGGAGTCGAGGTCAGTATCAAGGCAACCTGAGAGCTCCGTGGGAGAACAGGAAATGGAGCTGTCAGAGAGAGAGAGAGAGAGAGAGGGGGGCAGAGCCTGGGCCTCTGTCAGCCCTCAGATAGAGAATCAACAGCCCCCAGGTCTGGAGGTGGCTGATGAGGAAAAGGAGGAAAAGCAGGATCCTGGGCCTGACGCACAGGTGCACAGAAGGCAGAGGAGAGGAGAGCAGTGGAAATCTATGAGCCGGTCCTTGGGACAGAAGAGCCACCGCTGCTAGCAAGGCCCCACCTCTAGGGTTAAAAGGCAGAGGGCGGAGATGAATAGATGTGGCAGACAACTATTCATCTTCCTGCCAGACAGACTTGTTAGCCTGCGTTGAGAGAGAAACCTTTTGCCCAGGGCTGTTGGCATTCCTAATAACGGAATCTTTTGAGTTTATGTCAGAGAGTTTGTTGTCTTTGGGGAGCTGGGTCAGAACAACTTCCCGTGAACCTGGTGTATTCAATAGAATTCTGGGAGTTGAAGTCCACAAGTCTTAAAGTTGTCAAGTTTGGGAACCACTGCAATAGACGATGGTTTACTGGTTTACTGCAGTGTGTCAAGTCAGTCAGTGAATAGTTGACACACAAGCACAAAGACGCAAATAACAAAGCACAGGTAGTCTTTGACTTACAACTGTAATTGAGCCCAAAATTTATGTTACTGAGACATTTGTTAAGTGAACTTTGGTCTATTTTACGACTTTTCTTGCCACAGTTGTTAAGTGAATCACTGTAGTTTTTAAGTTAGTAACAAGGTTGTTAAGTGAATCTGGCTTCCCCATTGACTTTGCTTGTCGAAGGTCACAAAAACATGACCCCGGGACGTTCCAACTGTCATAAATACGAGTCAGTTGCCAAGCATCTGAATTTTGATCACATGACCATGGGGATGGCCCAACAGTCACAAGGGTGAAAAGCGGTCATCGGCCTCTTTTTTCGGTTGTCATTGCAACTTTGAATGGTCACTAAATGAACTGAGGTTAAATCGAGGACTCCCTGTAAAGAAGAAACTTGGGTTTCAGAGTTATTTTTTTATATTTCTTAAATTGAGACAGCTGCTCAATTCATGCTTCTCATTCCGCAGGGTGATTGGTGTGGATCGCACATGGCTTGGTCTAGATCAGGAATCTCCAACCTTGGCAACTTTAAGCCTGGTGGACTTCAACTCCCAGAATTCCCCAGCCAGCAAAGCAATTTTAAGCCTGGCAGACTTGGGGCTCAATTGTGGCCATATCTCAAGGACTCCCTGTAAATCAAATAAAAGTCGTTCCCAACTATAGGAGGCAGTGCTCATCTCCATTTCAAAGCCCAAGAGCCAGCGCTGTCCGAAGACGTCTCCGTGGTCATGTGGCCGGCATGACTCAATGCTGAAGGCGCAGGGAATGCTGTTACCTTCCCACCAAAGGTGGTCCCTATTTTTCTACTTGCATTTTTATGTGCTTTCGAACTGCTAGGTTGGCAGAAGCTGGAAGAAGTAACAGAAGCTCACTCTGTTATGCGGTTCTAGGGATTTGAACTGCCAAACTGCTGACTTTTCCGATCGACAAGCTCAGCGCCTTAGCCACTGAGCCCCCTTATAAAATTATTACATGAAATAAAGCCAGGTCTCGTGGAAACAAATAATGACACCATGCTCTTACCTCTTGCAAGAGTTCTGTCCCACAATCATCTTCAAATACGCTGCTCTTCCCTTCTGCTGAAGAGACACCCGTGCTCCTATCCCCAGCAGACAGCTCGACCCCCGGCCACTGATGCCCCTCCAGGCCTACCGGCTCTTTCTTCTGGCTTTCAAACTGTAGCTTGGCTTTGTTGGGATTGGGGACGGAGGGGTGCAAGTAGGGTTCAGCTTGAGGATTGAGCCGAGATGGGGTTTTGCAACTGTCCCATCTCAGGAAGTCTTCCTTCAGAAGTCCAGGTGCCTGGGCTTGGCCAGACTCCAACAGAAGTGCAACGGTGCAATCTTGAAGCTGGGTTTCCGCCGGCAACTCACTGTGGTCCTTGGAGGACTCTACAGTTCTCGTTCCCAGTTCTGGGAGAAGTTTGCACTCCTCTCCTCCGTCGGCACATAGACATGTCCTTTGGTCATTTCCAAAGAGGGGTAAGTCCTGAGTAGATTTCAACAGAAAAGCATCTGAAGCACTTGTCTCCCTGTTTCCAGGAAGGAATGTATCGCTTCCTAACAGAATGGAATCCTGGCCACTTTTATCCAAACCTTCAAGAAAGAATGGCTTTGTGCTCAAATTCTGGACATTTGGACCTTTGATCTTCTGGCCTTCAGGCGAAGTTGAGTGTCCACTTAGTTTTGAAAGAGCGTCAACAAAAGTCTCCATCAGTTCTTCTGGGAGACCTGAGTTCCCACCGCTTTCTGGGACAAAAATATTTCTGTCATCTTTACATTGCGTACCTATTTCAGATAGGTTCGGACTACTTTTGGATACTGATGTGGCCACCTTCATGTTCTCTCGCTTTTCCAGGTAAGACGCCCTCGGTGCGTCCTTCCAAAAAGAGACATCTGGGCAGCCCAGAGCCCCTCTGCCACTTTGATTGGCAGACTCCACATCTGAATGTCTTTGCTTGGGTGGGGGTTGGGACTTTGTGTTTTCATATTCCGTCTTGCTGGATAACCTGCGTCCATCTGGAATCCTTTCACTGCCAGATGTTTGACATTCTTCCTTGTTGCTGCTCATACAATGCAATCCACTCTCAAATGCTTCCATGGAGCTACCTTGTCCCGTGTCCTCCAGCTTCTTCCGCATGGCCCTAGGGACGTAGAGAGCTCTGTCTGGCTTTTTGGGGGGCTGCCTTCTAGGCCGGCCATTGCCTCTTCGGGCTTGGGAACTGCCGGCCAAGGCTTCCATCTGCCGTGGGCCTCCTCTGGATCGGCTCCCTCTGCTTCTGGCCTGGGGAGGGTGGTTGAAGTGAGAAGCTTCAACAACACCATTGGGGCAATCTGGTTCATCCGGCAACCTAAATCCAAGAGAAGAATCCGAAACACCAATAAATAGACAGGTCAATGCTTTAGAACTCCAAGACCAAATGCATCCAATTTTGACTACAAAACCATGACGGCTAATATATGAATAATTAATGTATATGTATTTGCACAATATTGGAAAAGTGGAGATTCCTACTGAAGAGAAGGTGATTAGGAAAATATTAGAATGTGCAGAAATGAATAGACTAACACTGACAATTAAGGAGAAAGAGCAATTTGATTATTATATGATATGGGAGGTGTTTTAGCAATGGCTAGAGAACAAAAAAGGAATTTGGAAATAAGAGAAGATGATAAAAAGAAGAATAGAAAATGTATTAAGACAGAGATAAGTATAAAATGATAATTGTTAACATGAGTATGATGAAAATAAGTATAATCAATGTCATTATAACTAGAATAGAATAGAATAGAATAGAATAGAATTTTTTATTGGTCAAGTATGATTGGACACACAAGGAATTTGTCTTTGGTGCAGATGCTCTCAGTGTACATAAAAAGACAAGATACATTCATCAAGAATCATAAGGTATAACACTTATTGATAGACATAGGATACAAATAAGTTGTAAGGAGAATCAATATCAATATAAATCGTAAAGTTACAAGCAACAAAATTACAGTCACACAGTTATAAGTGGGAAGAGGGGTGATAGGAACGATGAGTGCTTATTGTACGTATATTAGAAGATATCCTAGAAGACATGTTAAGACAGAAATGAAGAGATTTATAAAGTTTAACTGTATAATGTATTATAATTTATGGAAGAATGTTGCACAGAAATATCTATGCCCAGACGACACACTGCTTAAGGAAAGATGGAATGTATGTATTTTAAAATTGGAAAATAAAAAACTTTTATAGAAACAGTAACAAAAAACTAAGACAAAATCAAGAGTCTGTTTTATTAAAGAATCCAGTGGCATCTGCTAGCTGTATAGTGGCGACATGGGCCATAATCCTTCCAGAGTCTCATAGAAAAATGGCCAGTGACTGCTGATTACTGCTTTTTTTTTCTCAATATAATTCACATTGGATATGTAAAAGTAGAATAAGATCTTTGCTTGTCCCTAATCGTAAGCAAGCAAAAGGGAGAAAAGGATGATCGGTTATGAAATACCCAGGTCTCCTCTCTTGGGCAGGGGGTTGGGCAAGAAGACCTCCAAAGTCCCTTCTAGCCCCATTATTCTATGATTCTATAGAAATCCATAGATGGCTTCTATGCTGCCTCATTTGGGGAAATTTAAGAATTCCTCTCTAGGGACATGGTGGCTCAGTGGCCAAGATACTGAGCTTGTCGATTGAAAGGTCGACAGTTCAGTGGTTCGAATCCCTAGCGCCACGTAACGGAGTGAGCTCCCGTTACTTGTCCCAGCTTCTGCCAACCTAGCAATTCAAAGCATGTAAAAATGCAAGTAGAAAAATAGGAACCAACTTTGGCGGGAAGATAACAGCGTTCCATGAGCCTTTGGCATTTAGTTATGCCGGCCACATGACCACGGAGATGTCTTCAGACAGCGCTGGCTCTTCCGCTTTGAAACAGAGATGAGCACTGCCCCCTAGAGTCGGGAACAACTAGCACATATGTGCGAGGGGGACCTTTACCTTTACCTTAAGGATTCCTCACTTGCGAAAAAACTGACACACCTTTAACATTTTGAATGCAAAGAATATGGCAAATTGCTCTGAAACATTAAACTCTGGGGAATAAAATGTTTCAGATCCTCTTTTTGAAAGATCTTGCTTGAAAAAATGTAAATTAAGTTCATTCTGCCGGTTATGGGCTCTTGAGCAAAACTTAATCTCTTAATCAAAATCTTAATCTCTTCCACTTTCCAACTCTTCCTAGCTCAATACAAAATAAACACCCTCCAGCCCAAAAAATTGGAAGTTGAAAGTTAATGTCCTCTTTTCTTTCTTTTTCTCTTCCCCCTTGTATTCTACACCCCCTTTTTCCCGTTCCCTTTCCTGCCCTTAATTTCTTATTTTCTTATTTTTATTTTATATTATATATAATAAAATAAAAATTTAAAGAGAAAAAATCTTAATCTTACTCATTTAATACATTGAATTCATTTTTTATTTAATTTGTTTATAAAATTAAATCGTAATCACTTGTTCATTTAAT